AGTTGCTACCACCTATTATGCTCGCACCAGAACTGAGTTGCAGTATTTGTGTAAAATATCAAAGATTCAACCCGAAGAGACCCTAGCTGTGTGGTTGGGACGCTTGGTCATGGAACTCGGATCAGACCTGCTAAATCAAGAAGAAGCAAGTTTCTTTGTTAGACAACCCTCGTGGAGCAGAGGATATGTCACCAACCTCGACATGATAACAGCTAACACTCACTGGCCTATTCCACTGCCAGCACTTGTCGCGGGACTGATTAACCAGAAAGCCCATGAATGGCATACAGGACGACCAGATTATACCGGCGCAGAGCATTTCATGCTGGCACTCATCGGTGTCTCGTACTGTGCCTGGAACCCTGGAGCGTATGCACTGGGATTAACATCACTCCAGCAAATAAGACCATGGCCTCACCGTCATTTACGAGCTCCTGGAAACGTTCCACTGATTCCTCACAGTCTGGATAGTTGTCTCGAGGTTTATGGACAAAAAAACATCGCAGTCCTTCGAATTTTGCTCAGTCCAATGATAAACCAGCCCATGAGTAATCTCCTTTGTCAACTGCCAAAACTACGTATCCTAATGGAGTCCGGATCATATTATGATCAGGATTGTACCAAACCACAGGATGCTAGACGTCGCGAGTCCAACCGACCACCTAGAACCCTAGAGGAGCGATACATGTTTGGATTTCTCCTACAGCGTTCTGGACTCACGAAGCGACAACTTCGAATTTTGGGAGATGCGGGTCAATGGCGATTGGCTTATGAGTTAGGTTTTTGTTATTTAGAAGAACAAGATGATGGATCCTCAACAGTTTCATCCAATTGAGTCATAGAGATTGTTTAAGTGTATTAGATAAGATCATTAATCTGTTTTATAAGTTTCTGTTTACAGATCCCGGATCCAGAGTGCGTGGCAAAAAGAAGTCCTGAGAGGGATAACATCATTGATAGAAGCAAGGACTTGACGTGTGACTTTGCCGTGACGCCTACTGAAGCCCTGACCGTGCAGTTTTCATTTTGAATTTCGTTATGTGTGTGTGTGTTTATATAGGTTATTGTTTGATTCGGTCTTTGGAGGATGAACTCCTTATATTGACAGATTCTGCCTTCAACAAGGGGGGATATCCTAATCCGAGGATCTAATTATGTGTTTATATTGATTATTGTTTAATTGTTATGTAACTCAATTCCAGGACAGCGAATTTTGTGTTTGTTTGTTTGCTCGTTGGACTCACAAGGTTGTTGTTTGCTCGTTGGACGACTCACAACAAGGTTCCTAAATAGAGTATATAGCATAATTTAGCTATGCTCTCAGCAAGGGGG